TTTTTAAATGAAGAACCGGTAAATAATAAAATCTCAACCATGGATTTGATTGTTCTTAAAATCAATACTAAAATCACTTAAAATCGGTTCATTCATAAACCGATTTTAAATGATCGTTTCTTATATTCACTTCTAATTTTACCCTATATAAAAAAAATTATTTCCAACCAATTTTTTTTTTTTTTTTTTTACTTAAAACTAACTTGTAAATAAAAATATATTAACTTAAAAAATTATTTATAAGAAAATAAATTACATTATAATTTTTTTTTTGATAAGAAAATTACATTATAATTAAAAACACTACTTATACTTAAAAATACCAATTTCAAATTTTAAGTAAATATTTAAATTTATTTAACTTTTTAAGTTAAATGTTAAATTATATGGAGAAAAATAATCTATAAGTAAAATATTACTTACGAGTAAAAAAAATTTCATATGAGAAACTATAAACTGAAAATTTGACTAAGCGATATACATATAATTTCATTTTTTTAAAAAAAATTTAAGAACCAGTAAATAATAAAATCCCAAGCATGTATTTGATTGTTTTAAAAATCAATTCTAAAATCACTTAAAATCGGTTCAATCATAAATCGATTTCAAATGATCTTTTCTTATATTCACTTCTAAATTTACTCTTTATAAAAAAATTATTTCCAAGCAATTTTTTTTTACTTAAAACCTAACTTGTAAATAAAAATATATTAACTCAAAAAATTATTTATAAGAAAATAAATTACATTATAATTAAAAACACTACTTATAAGTAAAACTACCAATTTAAAAATTAAGTTAAAAATTAAATTATATGTAGAAAATTAATTTATAAGTAAAATATTACTTATGAGTAAAAAGAATTTCATATGAGAAACTATAAACTGAAAATTTGACTAAGCGACATACATATGATTTCATTTTTTTTTTTTTAAAAGTGAAGAACTGGTAAATAATAAAATCTCAATCATGGATTTGATTGTTTTTAAAATCGATACTAAAATCACTTAAAATCGATTCATTCATAAACCGATTTTAAATGATCGTTTCTTATATTCACTTCTAATTTTACCCTTTATAAAAAAATTATTTCAAACCAATTTTTTTTTCTTAAAACTAACTTGTAAATAAAAATATATTAACTTAAAAAATTATTTATAAGAAAATAAATTACATTATAATTAAAAACACTACTTATAAGTAAAAGTACCAATTTAAAATTTTAAGTACGTATTTAACTTTATTTAACTTTTTAAGTTAAATATCAAGTTATATGGAGAAAAATAATTTATAAGTAAAATATTACTTATGAGTACAAGAAATTTCATATGAGAAACTATAAACTGAAAATTTGACCAAGCGACATACATATAATTCCATTTTTTTAAAAAACATTTAAGAACCGGTTAATAATAAAATCCCAAGCATGGATTTGATTGTTTTAAAAATCGATACTAAAATCACTTAAAATCGGTTCATTCATAAATCGATTTTAAATTATCATTTCTTATATTCACTTCTAATTTTACCCTTTATAAAAAAATTATTTCCAACCAAGTGTTTTTTAACTTAAAACTAACTTGTAAATAAAAATATATTAACTTAAAAATTTATTTATATGAAAATAAATTACATTATAATTAAAAACACTATTTATAAGTAAAAATACCAATTTAAAATTTTAAGTAAATATTTAACTTTTTAAGTTAAATATCAAGTTATATGGAGAAAAATAATTTATAAGTAAAATATTAATTATGAGTACAAGAAATTTCATATGAGAAACTATAAACTGAAAATTTGACTAAGTGACATACATATGATGTCATTCTTTTTTAAAATGAAGAACCGATAAATAATAAAATCTCAAGCATGTATTTGATTGTTTTTAAAATCGATACTAAAATCACTTAAAATCGCTTCATTCATAAACCGATTTTAAATGATCGTTTCTTATATTCACTTCTAATTTTACCCTTTATAAAAAAATTATTTCCAACCAAGTGTTTTTTAACTTAAAACTAACTTGTAAATAAAAATATATTAACTTAAAAATTTATTTATATGAAAATAAATTACATTATAATTAAAAACACTATTTATAAGTAAAAATACCAATTTAAAATTTTAAGTAAATATTTAACTTTTTAAGTTAAATATTAAATTATATGGAGAAAAATAATCTATAAGTAAAATATTACTTATGAGTAAAATATTACTTATGAGTAAAAAAATTTCATATGAGAAACTATAAACTGAAAATTTGACTAAGTGACATACATATGATGTCATTCTTTTTTAAAATGAAGAACCGATAAATAATAAAATCTCAAGCATGTATTTGATTGTTTTTAAAATCGATACTAAAATCACTTAAAATCGCTTCATTCATAAACCGATTTTAAATGATCGTTTCTTATATTCACTTCTAATTTTACCCTTTATAAAAAAATTATTTCCAATCAATTTTTTTATTACTTAAAACTAACTTGTAAATAAAAATATATTAACTTAAAAAATTATTTATTAGAAAATAAATTACATTATAATTAAAAACACTGCTTATAAGTAAAAGTACCAATTTAAAATTTAAGCTAAATATTAAATTATATGTAGAAAAATAATCTATAAGTAAAATATTACTTATGAGTAAAAAAAATTTCATATGAGAAACTATAAACTGAAAATTTGACTAAGTGACATACATATGATTTCAAATTTTTTTTTTTAAAATGAAGAACCGGTAAATAATAAAATCTCGAGCATGGATTTGATTGTTTTTAAAATCGATACTAAAATCACTTAAAATCGGTTAAATATTAGATTATATGGAGAAACTATAAACTGAAAATTTGACCAAGCAACATACATATAATTTCATTTTTTTGAAAAAAAAAATTTAAGAACCGGTAAATAATAAAATTCCAAGCATGGATTTGATTGTTTTAAAAATCGATACTAAAATCACTTAAAATCGATTCATTCATAAATCGATTTTAAATGATCGTTTCTTATATTCACTTCTAATTATACCCTTTATAAAAAAAAATTATTTCTAACCAATTTTTTTTTATTCAAAACTAACTTGTAAATAAAAATACATTAACCTAAAAAAATATTTATAATAAAATAAATTACATTATAATTAAAAACACTACTTATAAGTGAAAATACTAATTTAAAATTTTAAGTAAAAATTTAACTTTATTTAATTTTTTAAGTTAAATATTAAATTATATGTAGAAAAATAATTTATAAGTAAAATATTATTTTTGAGTAAAAAAAGTTTCACGTGAGAAACTATAAATTGAAAATTTGACTAAGCGACATACATATAATTTCATTTTTTTAAAAAAAAAAAAATTAAGAACCGGTAAATATAAAATCTCAAACATGGATTTGATTGTTTTAAAAATCGATAATATAATCACTTAAAATTTGTTCATTTGTAAACGCTCAAAATCAATGCTTTAAAAAATGTTCATAATGGATACCCCAAAACTCCTAAGTTGGCACTAAGGTTAATTGGTTGCCTCTCTTTTGGGACACTAATTTTGTATAGTGTAATTTGGGGAGTGAATTGTCCAAATTGTCACTGAACTTTACGCCATACTTTTAAGGGGTCACTGAACTTTAAAAATCACATAAATCATCATTGAACTTTGTAAAAGGTTTTCACAAGATCACTGAACTTTAAAAATCATTTCATTCATTACTAAACTTTGCAAAAAATTTCTACGGAATCACTAAACTTTGCAAAATGTTTCTTAGGAGATCACTGAATCAGTGACCCCTGGGAAACTTTTAACAAATTTCAGTGATAAATAATGTGATTTTTAAAGTTTAGTGACCTCGTGAAATTTTTTTGCAAAGTTCAGTAATATGTCGGAAGTATAACGTAAAGTTCAGTGACTATTTGGACAATTCACTCGTTGGATCATATTTTTCATTCAACCAAATTGATTATTTTTTATCGTTTTCGATTTCCTTTCAATTTTGCATTCTAAATAATTATTAGCAAGACAAAAATTCAACTATACATACAAACAATTGCTTATAATAATTAAAAAAAAAAAAAATCATAACAAGAAAAATTACTTATAAACAAAAAAAGTTGATAAAATATATAATTAATTGTTACCATACATTTCATGAAATTTCACGACTTTTATCATTTGTCAACCATACTTTTGTTAAATTTTATCGAAATCTACTACAAATCTGATTTTTAATAAAAACCAAACATGGGCTAGTTTTTTAGAAAATCACAACCAATTTAGCCCCCGTAAGACAAAGCTTTTTGGGATTATAAGCTAGTGTATCTCGTAAAATATGTGATTAAAAAGTGAATAAAATTTTTGAATCCAATGAAATGTGTTATTAAAAATGAAATTTGACGGCTTAAATCTGAAAAAATTACTGATAATTTTACATAAATGCATATCAGATGAAGATAGAAGTAGTGCCTAATATGAAATAAAAATAAATTTCAGTAATTAATAATTTGGAACAAAAAAGTTCGATCAACATTATAAACATCCTCATAGGGTGAAATCAATTACCCTGGTGGATGGAGAATGGACCACAAGTTGGGACTGAGCTTGCTTGGAGACTTGAGGCCTGGGTAAATGGACCGCTAGTTAGTTTTGGGTTTTCTTGGAGAATTGGACCTTGCCTAATGGACAAGAAGTTGGTTATGAACTTGCACAGACTTGGGATCCGACTAATTAGCCACAAATGAAGAGAGGCTTGACGAGCTTTCTCTATCGGCGACTCATAATCTAGTTGTTGGCCTTGTAAAGTTTGCTAAGCTTCGCTATAAAGTATTTGTTGAATCACCTCTCCAAAATTATAAGTTAGAATATTCATAATGAACTTGATTGGATTTTTTCTCAAAACGATAATGCGTTGATCTTGTTAACACCAGAGCCACAAAAGACAACTAGACTCTGAAAATATTTTTACCGAGTTTGTGAGAAACATAATTCATTTACTTGAATGTATTTAGCTTTCAACACATATCCAATCATGCGATGGCCGGAATATATAATATATTATAGATGTATCATGTCCTTTCTCATAGAATAGTGTGACATTAGAGTTGAACTCCTAGTGTTTGCTATGATGACATTATTTTGAAGTTATATTACACTACTTACATGGAAATGCAGGTAACTCGATTCACCTGTGGTGGCTTTGCTTTGGGAATCAGATTCAACCACACTATGGCAGATGGCTACGGGGTAATGCAATTTCTAAGTACTTTGACAGAATTAGTTAAAGGTGCCTGTGAGCCCTCTATTCAACCTGTATGGCAAAGAGAACAATTTTTAAATGCAAGATCACCCCCAAGAATTACATGCACACATAATGAATTTGAACAAATATCGCGAAACAAATCGTCCACAGACATTATGGATTCAGACAAGTTGATTCGAACAGCTGTTTTCTTTACTCCTAAGCACTTCGTAATCAGGTGTTGTCTGAGAATTTCCGTCGGTGTACAAGATTCGACCTAATAACAGCATGCTTATGGAAATGCCGCACTATTGCACTAAATCCGGTTGATCCGGAAGAGATGGTACGTATTTCAATTGCTACCACTGCGCGTGGCAAGCCGGGGATACTGGATATACCAACAGGATATTACATCAATGTATTCACATATCCGGCAGCTGTAACCAAGGCAGGAACTCCATGCACAAGTCCATTATCATATGCAGTTCATTAGGTTCAAAATGAGAAGGCACAACTGAATTGTGATTACATTAAGTCAGTGGCAGATCTTATGGTGATTAAGAAACTACCCATTGCTACCATTGGCTGTTGAAAAATTCCAATGTGAGCTTAGAAAGATGACTTTTGAATCAGCAGGAGATCTTGCACTGGATTACAATTAACCTAGAAATAAGTTATTTTGCTATGGCTAAAACGTTTGCAAGGAGTGTAATAATACTTCGCTTTCAAAAATAATTACATAAAGATTGATATGTGTTTCTTAAACCAAATGTGGGTATGATGTGCACTTACTGATTGAGTGATAACACAACATGAATGATTTACTGCTCACAGTGGCAAAAGTTATAATTTCCATCTACTGCTATTGATGTTGTCAGTAGATTCTTTTGAAAAGTAAAATAAAAAAATAAAAACTGCTTGACAGTTGACGTGGTAGAGCCAAATTAGCGATGGACAATTGTTGTTCTGCCCAATATGGACACGATATCAACTCTGGATAACACAATACATAAAATGGAAATATAAACAGTAGTCCCCAAACTGCTTTGCATCCACGGCCTTCAAACTTGCACTTTTCAGTCTTTAATGCTAATGGCACAAATATCACGTGGAATGCATATGATGAATTTTTTTGCGCAACAAAATAAACTTGACATGGTCTTCTCCACGTTTTCACCACAAACTGGCTTTAAAGAAGTGTTTTTTCTTATCAAAACTCTCTTTGCATGGATTTCATCAGTGCAATTGTGGAATGCCCACATATACGAAGAGTTCATGGGTTGATCAAATCCGGGATGTCAATTTCTTGCTTGTCCAAAGATGCCTGTCCATTTGGCAGCTTTTCGAGAGAAAACACGAAGTAAAGAAAAATGACATGATAAAAATCAGGTTTTAGTAAAATTTTAATAAAAGTTGATAAAATGTGTAGTTGAAAAAATGATAAAGTTGCGATCCCATAAAATGTTTGGTTGAGAATAAGTTTGAAAAAAATGAGTTTTAGAAAAATTAGGATCAAACAGAGACGGTATATCTTAAACTAATCTTCAAACAGATGAACTACTCGTAAACAAAGAACATCGAAAAAGAGGTTTTGGGAGCATCATTTCTCGATATCTTGAAGCCCTACTTTGTAAATTCTGTGACAAAATCAAGGAAGGGAGAAAACGAATTGAACTACTGGGAAAAACAGAACGAAAAAACAGAGAGGAGAAAAGGATAGAGCCTGCTAAATGCAGGGAAGCAGATGAAAATTCATTCCATTCAACTTGAGGAAAATACAATGCAAGCTACTCTATTTATAGAAGAAATAATACTAACCAATTATCTAACAAACTAACAAGATAACAAACTAAAGAAGAGAATAGAAGGAACTAGAATAAACTGAAGCTGGAAGAAGGAGCTGAACACGTGAAGAAGAGCTGCTTGTTTGCTGGTGAACTACTCTGAATCTGCACGTGTGATTGCTGGTGAACTGGTGATCAATTGAATCTGATTTGGGCTGTTGGGCTGATTTATATTCCAACACTCCCCCCCTCAAGATGGAACATCTTGAATCGTAGAGAAGGAGAGTAGGGATGGAAGTTTCGAATCAGTTTACTTTGTTGTTTCTTCGTCTGGAAAACATCTGCTCTGGTTTCATCATTCAATTCCTCTTTGCAATCACTTTCAGGTTCCTTTTATTCTCTAATTCTGCAAGCTATAGCCAAATCAGCCCTCTGATCTGGGCCAACATACTTGTACTCTGCAAGAGCTTCAGAAGCAACATCTAGGAAATTTTTTTTCTGACAACTGCAGTGGTGCGAATTTTGTACAATTCAAAATGGTTTGCTTTTATTTTTTTCTTTCTTCCTCTGAAACGAAATGATCAACAAGATCTACTTTATCCAAGCAGGCATCAGCATAATACTCTACCTCCATCTGGTTATATATTTTAGCATCCTGGCGTGACACTTCTTCACATGTTGAAACCAACTTATCTGCCTTTTAATGGTTAAAATCAATCCTAGAAGCCTGCCATTCCAGCAGGTTTCATCTTCAATTTCATTTCAATTTCGATTTGATTCTCTATCTGGGAATAAATCATCCATCCTCAGACACTTTGTCTGCCTTCAATTTCATTTTGATTCCCTACCTGGGAATCAATCAGTTACTTTAGGAAGATCTTGAGAAGTCTGCCATTCCTTGCAGGTTCTATCTTCAATTTCCGGTTTCAATTCCTTATTTGGGAATTTTCAGTCATGTTTCGACATTTTGTCTAATATCTAGTGAGCAAAGCTACTATTCTGTTTTCTGTAATCTGATTTTTCTGATTTCGTTTTTTTTTTTGATTGAATTGAGAAAAAGTAAAGAAGAAGATGAATTGCATATGAAATAATTTAAACCCGCTCTGATACCATGATAAAATCAAGGAAGGTAGAAAACGAATTGAACTACTGGGAAAAACAGAATGAAAAAACAGAGAGGAGAAAAGGATAGAGCCTGCTAAATGCAGGGAAGCAGATGAAAATTCATTCCATTCAACTTGAGGAAAATACAATGCAACCTACTCTATTTATAGAAGAAATAATACTAGCCAATTATCTAACAAACTAATAAGATAACAAACTAAAGAAGAGATTAGAAGAAACTAGAATAAGCTGAAGCTGGAAGAAGGAGCTGAACACGTGAAGAAGAGCTGCTGGTTTGCTCGTGAACTGCTCTGAATCCAAGTGTGATTGCTGGTGAACTGGTGATCAATTGAATCTGATTTGGGCTGTTGGGCTGCTGGTCTGTTGGGCTGATTTATATTCCAACATTCTGAGAAATGTTTGATTTTTCAGAATAAGAAAGAAGAAGATAAAGTAGTAGAAAAAGAGGTAAAATATGAGAAAGACAGGGAGTTGGGACATGGAAGAGAGGCGGTTGTTCGGTGGGGGCGTGACGGGCTGGGTGAGTGTGTGTGAGGAAGATGAACAAATTTAATTTGTTTTTCTTTTATTTTTATTTTGCTAATGTGGCATAATTTAACGGTCATATAGCGTCATGTTAAATATTTGCGAATCACTTGTGCAAATTCGTCCAAGGCATGAAACATAATAAACTTTAGTGATAGATGGGTGACTCGTATGTATGTTAAAATAGATTTTTTTAGTTGAGTGAGCAAGTAGTAATTAAAAAATTTCAATGACAATTTATTTAATTAATCCACATACATTCGTTTGACAAGTTTATAAATAAGAATAAAATGAATAGTATATGATCCTACCAATAATAAGTAATAATTATAAATTTAATATTTAATTTTGACTAAATTTATAAATTGTATTCGAACGAGATTTAATTAAAGAAATAATTAATATTGTGCGGAGAAGGATTTGCACAACAATATTCTGATGGGAATTAGTGTTGCTCCTCACCCCGACAAGGGTGGGGTGGAGATATCACTATTTCCATAATTTAATCAATTATAGAGTATGAGTTTGATTGAGATTGGACGTTTTAAGTTTCACAAATGCAAAAATCAGGTTTTAAGTTTTAAAAATGCAAAAATCAAGTATTTATTTTTTAAAAATGCAAAAATCAAGAATTTATTTATAAATTAAAAATATTGTGGGTTTATGTGAAACAATATGATTTGATCAACAAAATATATTTTAATATGTGGTGGTTGAATCTTATAATCAAATAATGTTTTGGATGATCAAATAAGTGATCTCGATGGAATAAATCTGATTCAACACACTTTTGGA